TAGACAGGCGAAAAGGAAGAGAACTGAGGCCTGGGGAAACCAGTGTTTAATAGTAAAGAGACCAAGAAGTAGCAGTTAGAGTGGTAGCTATAAAACTGGGAGGAGACAGTATAGAAAAGCTACAAGATGAGAGTTTCAAGCTATAGAGTGCCTCCGGTGGCCCAAGTTAGGCTGAGACCTGAAAAGAGTCTCCTGCATTTATGACCTGGGGGTGGACTTCGTGGGTAGAAGAGAAATTGTGAGTTGAGCAAATAGGAAAGCAAGTGTGAACTAACTTTTTCAGAGTTTGACAATGAATGAAAGACAGGTGAGAACTCATCAGAGAGAGGGAGCAAGCTAAGAGAAAAAAGATTTCTTAAGATAGGGATTCTGGAGCTTACTTAGAGATTAGGGGAAGGCTTTGATGGTAAAAGAATTAGAGATACAGAAATGGATATATTGTCCTAAAGGAAGGTAGGAAGAGGCCAGTGGAGGGGTGTCTCTTCCTGTAATGAATGCAGTAGTTAGAGGTTAAAGAGGCAGGAAGTGTAGTTATATAAGCGTGACGGCCTTTAGTTTCTAAGCTAGAGGTCAGTTCTTATACTGCAAGGATGGAGGGTGATATTGGCGTTTAGGGGGTTGGAGGGTAGAGTTAAGGTTTGGAATGGTGCGTGGAGAATGAGAGTAGTTGCGTTAGTGGAGAGCAGAGAGGGCTCTGTCAGAAGACTTGACTCTGGCTTTTCAGTGCTTGCCAACTGGCAGTGTGACGTCAGGCAAGTCAGAGAGCTTCTCTAGGCCTCAATTTTCTTTTCTGTTAGGCCAGGGTATGGGGTTAGACATAGACAGGTTTTTCAAACTGTGCTCTCCAGAGAGGAAGGAGGAGTCCACTGAACTGAAATAGAACATTTGAAAACCACTGGACTATATTCTAATGTCCTTTCCAGCAATAAAATTCTACTTAGATGTTGTAGAAATAAATTAGTTTTTCATAAATCTTACGGATCTTACTTTTAAAGAGTAAACTCTTGTAATTGCAGGGTGTGTTAATGTAATAAATCAGTGTTTTTCAAACTGTGTTCCCTAGAGCTGCCCATAATTCTGTGGGGCATCTCAGTGGCTACTGAGGGATCTGGGGGTGTTCCATGGCAAGGATTCAAGGCTCCAGGCCCCAGCCCACTAGTTGTACATTTTTGTATGCTGAGGATCTCCATAGGCTTTTATTTTTTTTAAATAGATTTCTTTCTATTATTTTGGTTTGTCAGTTACAGATTACTAGCTGACCAATGTGTCCAATACCTTAGGGACAACCTCAGGATTAACATCCCACAGATCTCTAGTAAGGTTTTTAGAGATGGAAAACTCAGTTCTTGGTCGTTTGATTTACAACAGTGATTTGCAACAAAAGGTTGATTGAAATCTCAACTTCCAAGCAGTAATTCCCTTATCAAAAGACCTTCATATTTTAATATTAGGGAAATTGTCAATAAAATTGGGTATTTTGCTACATTTGGAGGTGTCTGAAACATGCCATTTTTAGCTCACTTTATTGCAAGTGAATTTGTTGACCAAAATGGAGAGTCTTTTTTTCATTTATTTCGACTTGAAAATAATTAGCTTATGGGAATGGTTGAGGGGAAAGTGTATATGGTCTCCAGAACAAGGATTTTAAGTGTTCTTCTTGATGAAAAACATTTGAAAATATAAATTTCAAAATCATATTGTGCTCCCATAAACTATTCCTATTAATAACAAAGATGTAGCCTTATATTTCATACTCTGAAGAGCTTGAAAAGCAAATCTACTCCCCAACCTGACTCCTCTCCCTTCCAGCACACACATAGAAGATAGATGTAGACCCTCCTAGGATTTCCAGTTTACTCTGGACAAGTCCTTCGTCCTAACCTTGGGGGAACAGTGAGTAGAAAGCATTCAGTGATTGCATGTGTGAGGATTGTAAACAAAGTTTGTGTTGGGCCCTAATCTTCGCTGATGTAATTTTGGCTAGCATGTCAGAAGGCCAAGCAGCTGAAGTAACTACAGTCTCTCCTGAAAGAAAACAGATCTGCTGCAGTTAGCAGCTGAAGTGAAAGTCATCAGTGTTTCTCTGGTACTTCTGTCTTCTAAATGATAGCTTGATCAGATTTCCTTGTTTCCAACCTAGACCACCAAGCAGAAATCAGCTGGGTTCTTCAATGATGTTGCTGAGGTGCTTTTTACTATATGTGTGGACTTCTTTTTCCCCCTGAACGTCTGGGCTCATCCTAGCCGGTCAGTGCATCTGTGCCAAACTCTGTTTGAGCTCACTCATTTGTTCTGGGCTCCAGCCACTCCCGTCTTGTAGTTGAGAAAAGCCTGACCTTAAATTTGGTCTCAAAGTTCCTTTGTAGGATTTATCTGTTTCCTGCTTTGGAGGCTTTTGCACACCAGAAATTAGTTGCTATAGCAAAAGCCATACTTTTGTACTAACTGATAAGTCATGTTTTTAAGGGCCTCCAAGGCAGAAAAACCTTTCTGTATCAATACAAAGGTTCTTGTGAAAATTTGGTTACTTTTCCTGTCCATTTCCCCGAGAAAGTTGTTTAAAAGTTCCAAAAGATAAGGTATAAGAGTAGGAAACATGATTCTCTATTCTTGCTTGATTTTCCCCCCCTGCCCCCCACGCCATGGTAATAATGAGAAAATAAGTAGGATTCTCCATCTCTGATTCTTTAAATAAAAAAAAGAAATCTCATGTACTGGGTAGAAGGAATCTTTACTCAGTGACTGTATGATGGGCTTCATTTTTCTTAGCCATCCTAATAGAAGGATCCTCAAAGGCCACGTTGAGAGAGGCAAGCACACATTTGGTAGGTGCACCATTCTGTCTCATAACGGTATGTTGTTTTGGATTTCTGTAGCAAAGTGCAGGCCCGAATAGCATTCTCTGCCTATCTCCAGCATGTTCAAATCCGACTGATGAAAGACAGTGGAGGTCAAACGTTCAGTGCCAGTTGGGCTGCCAAAGAGGATGAACAGATGGTGAGGCTCTTCTTGTTGGAACCTTTTTACTTTCTCTTACTCTCCCTTCCTCTCTCCCTCCCTCTCTCCCTCCCTCCATCCCTCCCTCCATCCCTTCCTTCCTTCCTTCCTTCCTTCCTTCCTTCTTTTCTTTTTTTTCCTATACTAAGATAAAGAACAATATACTTGGGCTTCCCTGGTGGCGCAGTGGTTGAGAGTTCACCTGCCGATGCAGGGGACACGGTTTCGTGCCCCGGTCTGGGAAGATCCCACATGCCGCGGAGCGGCTGGGCCCGTGAGCCATGGCCGCTGAGCCTGTGCGTCCGGAGCCTGTGTTCTGCAATGGGAGAGGCCACAACAGTGAGAGGCCTGCGTACCGCAGGAAAGAAAAAAAAAAAAAGAACAGTATACTTGTGGTGAAAGAATTATTCCACAGTATAGCTTGCAGATTTCTCTTCTGTGAAGTGAATCTTGGATCTGGAGCCATGTTCATCACAGTATGTGTTGAGGGCATTAATTTACTTCATTCAGAAAATGGAAATTGATTGCTCATTAGATGTCAGGCCCGTGCAAAGCCCTAGAAAGGAATAACAATTTGCAGAGTCCTTTCTCAAGCAGCTTCACATTTTATTAATTCTTTGGTATAGGCACTGTCATCTCCATTTGCAGATGAGGAAACAAAGACCTAGAGGAAGGGGGTAACTTGCCTGTTGTCCTGTAGCTCATATGTGCTGAAACTGGAACTTAAACTCAAATGTTGCAATTGTACATTATTTGCTCTTGCACTATTTCCATGGGTCATAAGGCATTTATTTTCTGTCCTGGGGGGTCAAGTTAGCTCTTTGAAAATCAACACTTTATCATGGGCCCTCTGAGAATGTACCATCCTCCATTTTAATGTTTTTTTCTTTGCTAGTTGTCACTTTATAAAATTCTTAGATTACTGGAGACAAACTTGTGTAATAATTTTTACTGTATATTGGTCATTCGAACCTGCCTAAAATTTAATATACTAGCAATGTTTTTCTTTTTGGATCAGAATGACAGGGAGCTTCAAGCTCTTTGGTAAGGTCAACACATATAGAAGAAGCCACAGCCCTTCCTTAGGCTTTTTAACCACAGGGATCTGTCACTGAAAAGAGAAGGACCATTAAGTCTGGGAAAGCTGCATCCTTTGTCCAGCTCAGTGGTGATCCTACTGTAATTTTCAGTTCTCCACATATAAGAGGCGTACAATATGCTGTGCTTATTATAAAAGCATGATGGATATCCCAGAAAACAACTTGTGAATTTAAAGTAGCCAGTACAACCCAGAGATAAAACCTTGTGTGTTGTGAGTAATTTTTCAACTGTCAGTGGAAAATGTTAGCTCTGCTCTTTCCAAGTGGAAAATTGAAACTGCCTTTTTGAGAGTCAGTTTGTCTGCTCCACTGTGAAAAAATAATGTTTTAATATAACAGCTTAAACCAGCCTATAGTAAAGACAGCAGGGTAGACCTATGAAATCCAACCCTCTGGTTATGAGACTGTTTCTTTATGTTGGAGTAAATTGTCACCAAAGGACAGTGAACCAAAATCAAATTCAAGAAGAAAAAAATAGCTCAGAAGAGAATAACTATTGCAACTGCTGACTTGGAATTCACACAGGATTTCTATGGAGCTTTTTATAAGAATATTTAGGATCATCACTACAGAACTTAGTATCAGTTGTGTGCATTCCTGTTTGAAAATCTATCTAAACAACAAACCCTAAGGCATTACCTGATGATTGTGGCAGTGGTCTTGTTTATGAGGAAGGTAGGTGTAGAATTGCCTTCTCTGATCCAAGTTAGGTTTAGAGCTTCTTTATCACGTAATTCACAGAAGGCACATCGACAGAAGTTCCCCAAATCCATCATCTTCAGGCAGTTTTACTGTGTTTGGGGGTTGGGTGCGGGGAACTACTATCTTTAAGGCCCTTGGCCTTGCAAAAATCTCTCTTTGAAGCATTTGTGATGTTATGAATGATCTGATTGGTATCTGTTCAGATTTCAAAATCCTTTGCCCCATCTCAGGTGAGATGTATCCCTGCTACCCCTTAATGACCTTTCACTATGCCCTCTTTGCCAACCCCCAACTCTAAAAGCACCCTTATTTTGGGGGAAGAAAAAATAAATAAAAAGCTATCGCCTTGCAAGCCTGGTAACAGTTCTTTCTTTCCATTAGCCACTAAACTTTTTAAATCAGTAGTTTCTGCTCTTCACCTGTATTCTTCAGTATCCATCCGTTTCTTAACCTCTACTTTCTGTCCCCTTTACTCTACTGAAAGTGGTTGTGGTCCTTTCCTGCTCCAGCCTCTTGGAAGCTGTGACATGGGAGCCTTCCTCCCTTGGCTTGCATGACACTTTTTTCTCCCGTGTTTCTTTCTACATTTCTGATGTTTCTGTCATGGTTTGTTGTGGTTGTTGTTTGTTTTTTTCTGATTCTTCCTCCTCTTTCCGATCTCTGAGTGTCAGTATTTCTACATTCTTTCTCTCCCTTCTCACCTTTGATGACTTGATCCATGGTTTTAGTTTCCTCTACCTATTACTTTCCCTAAGTATCTTTCTCAGACCACCCTATTGGAGGTGATAGCTGCACTTTGAATTACTATAGTACTATGTATAGATGAATTGTACTTTTACAGCTACTACTTTATTACATAGTTATTTGCACACATACTTGATTTTGATTGTCCCACTGCCAGCTTGTTAAAGGAAGAGGATATGTTTGTTTTGTTTTGTTCTTGTCTTACTGTATCCTTGTTATACCTAGTATGTTTGCTTTGGGTCTTATTTGTTGAAGTGTATAGTATGCCTCTTCTTATCTCTCTATTGTGTAATCCCCTTGTAGCTTGTCTTCTGTTGCTAAAGCAAAATCCCTTCTTTTTTTCCCCCAATGACTCTTTAATTTATAGGAGCTAGTGGTTCGTTTCCTCAAGCGAGCATCAAGTAACCTCCAGCACTCACTGAGGATGGTATTACCCAGTCGGAGAGTGGCACTTCTGGAGCGCAGAAGAATCCTGGCCCACCACCTGGGTGACTTTATCATTGTGTACAACAAGGTAGGTGGTTCATCTGTTAGTCTTGTGCTTTGGATCGCCACGCACTGTCAGAAACAGGCTAGAAGCCTCTGTCCAGCTGGGCGCAGAGGTTCTCCTTCCCTTTTAGCATTATCACGTGCTGTGTGGGACATTATGGGGAGCAGGACGTCACTCCCTTACCAGCTGGTCTGAAAAGCTACTTATTACTACTTGTGAAGGCCCAGGGGCCGTAGTTCACTCTCATCCAAAGGCACATTCCTTTTGAGTGCTGTTGCACCTGAGATGAATCCTGGGCTATGTGAATTTGCATTGTCATTATTGTGCCTGGAGACAGTGGTGAATTGACTATTTGAGAGCAAATTTGAACTGTGGATTTAATACAGTGACACAGTCTTCCTTCTTGAGAGAGTTACACTTTGTTCTCTAGAACATTTTAGATAGTGACTTCATTTTACAACCACGTCCAGAAAATAGACTATTTAGTGAGAATAGTCTGCAAAGCATTTTTTATCCAAGGGTCTTCGAATGCCTTAGAAATGTCATTTTGGGGTGGGGGGAGCGGGGAGCATGGTTATTTTTCAGAAAGGAAAGCTGAGGCCTGGAAATTTAAATAGCTTTTGTGAAATGTGTGGAATGGTCAGTACAGTATCAACACACCAAATCCATAGCTACATAGCTACTCCAGCTCTGTTGAGAATTTTGGGACAGCTTACATAAGTGAAGAATTTACTCAATTTGGATGCTGCTATAGGAGTATCTTCCAAGACCTATCTTTCCTCTCCCTAACTGTAACAAAATACAGTGTCTCTGTTGTCATTCTATTAAAGCTTCAAGTGTGACCACAGACATTACCAAGCTCTCTTTTCACTGGGCTACCTGAGTAAAAAGTAAAAACATGATAAAAATTTATATTTATTATGCAACTCTTACTTGGAAACTCTAAAATGTTTCATGAAATAATGAGAGAAAATAATATATCAGATTTATAGGTGGCAAAAGTACATGGAGGAATTAAATGTCTTTACTATAAAGACAAATTAACCCAAGGGTAATGAAACCAGATGATGAAGTATGCATTTATCAGGAGTCAGTTTTATCTTGTTTTTCTGTGGGGTTGGGGACTGGATAGGAAACAGAGCAAATGGCTGGAAAGAAATCGAAGAAGAAACTTGAGGAAGAAGAGGAAGATGGGGTGAATACGGAAAACTTTCAGGAGTTCATCAGACAAGCAAGGTAGAAGACATTCTTAATCAAAAGTATCTTATTCTGTCTTCCACACTGCCCCATTGATTCCCAGTAGCCCCTTGTTTCTAACATATGGATGTGAGTAAAATCACTCTTAGAAGGAGAAGAAGGGTTTCATAGGCTTGATCTCTCCATATCTCAGCCAATTATTGGCTGTTGTCATGGTTTTAGTTATCAAAACACTGCCGCTGGGCATCTGGGCTGTATTTCTAGACAGCTTCAAAGTACACACCATTCTAAGGGCTGAGGGAGCACTTCGGAAAGCTGAAGTTAGAGGTTTCTAGTGTTTACTGGATCTGAATTTATTCCTGACCTTCTGATGCAGTGGAGATGACCACATTTTGCCTACGTTGAGTGGGTTGCGGAATTGGCAGTTTCTCAGCACTGTAAGGGTTATGCCTAATGTATATAAAAGAAAACAAGTCTTTCATGCTTAAGGTTAGCTTTTAGGGGTTGAAAAATCTCAGCATTCAGCTCTCTATCTTGATCCAATTAGCCAGGCCATTCTTCGCTACTTTGGAGACCTTGGGGTTTACTCTGAGATCCATAGGAGCAGTTTCCAAGGTTGTCATTACAGTGTATTCTGAAGATAGGATATAGGTTCTTTGTAATATTGCAGGAATATTTTTCTTATTTGAAGGGCACTTATCTGGAACATAGCCAGGCTCCAGGAAAAAAGTGCAAAAGGCCGTTGAGGAGCTGCTACAGATTTTACAAAAGCCATGCATAGTATGTTTACTGGAAGAATTCTATGGGCCCTCATCTGTTTCCTTACACTTTCCATTTTGTGGATGTTCGTAAAAAGTGCATAGAATTTCAATATTTGAAGTGACCTAGAGACCATCTGGTTCAATTTCCACTGTATAGATGGTTAGGGAAATCTTCCTTGTTTACGCTGGTGAGTTTCCGTATTTATGACAAAGTGGCTTCTTTAGTGAATATACTCCAATTATCTGGAAGTGGGGTGGACAAACTGCCAAGGACCAGATAATAAATGTTTCAGACTTTGTGAGCTACATGTGGTCTTTATAGCATACTCTTTAAAAATATGAAAACCGTTCTTAGATGGGAGCCATACAAAAACAGCCTGCTGGTCAGGGTTGGCCCACTGTCTGTAGTTGGTTGACCCCTGATTTAGAACATGGCTGTCCAATAGAACTTTCTGTGTTGTAGCTGCTGAGTACTTGAAATGTGGCTAGTGTAACCAAGGAAATGAATCTTTAATTTTAATTCATTTAAATCTAAATAGTCACATATGACTAGTGGCTACTATATTGGACAGTGCAGATGTAGAATATTCACTGTGGAATGAGTAAAACCTTGTCATGCCTTAAATTTTTCAGACTGCTTCATTTATATTTCTTTTTTACCATCTATTAATAGGGAGTTTCCAGCTTGTGCTTTTCATTTTCCCCTTCTTCAGCTCACTCCATTTTCATAATAAAATCTGGTAGAAAGATTTTCCAGAACACCTTCCTGTTCTGACCATACTTTCTCTCCCCATTTCAGTGAGGCTGAACTGGAGGAGGTGTTGACTTTTTATACGCAAAAAAACAAGTCTGCAAGTGTCTTCCTGGGGACTCACTCAAAAAGTTCTAAAAACAGCAACAGTTTTTCTGATAGCGGGGCAAAGGGTGGTAAGTATATTGGTTAATTAATGAAAAATAAGAAGAACAAGTGAAAAAATGAGATGTGCAAAGGGGAACCAAAAATAATATGTTGCCTAAGCACTAATAGACTCCGAGGTGGTAAAATTCTGCAGTGTGTGGGTAGGAGATGAGGAGGCCTTATATTTTTGTCATAAAAGCGCAAGAGGGACATGGTCTAATTTTTTTTTTCATGAAAATTAACATCAGAGAGCTGTTTTCCTGACAAGCTAATAATACCTAACATTTAGTGAGCACTCATATTACTGTCTACTGGACATGATCTTATTTTTTTACTTCCAAAAACCATATGGAGTAGGTGCTATTATAAAACTTCTCTACAGATGAGGGAACAGAGCTGAAAGAGACAGAGTAACTTGCCCAAGGGTGCTCTGCACCATACGGTGGAACAGGAATCTGAACTTTAGCCTACCTGACTCAAAGCTTGTGTTCTTAGTCACTGTTCTTCTGCCTCTCCTAATGATTATTTCTCACTCCTGTTAAATTTTTTGGTTCCTTCAGCTCATCACCATTTGCATTTGGGGTAGGAGAATTCTTTGTTGTGTGGGACTATTCCATACCTGGTGGGATGTCTAATATCCATAGTCCCAAGCCCTAAATGCCACCATCTTCCTTCAGTCATTGTGATAACCCAATGTTCCCACACATTTCAAAAATTTCTCACTGCTGGGGAACTCCATGATTGGGGATTTGGAATTGGTGTGGACGAAACTATCTAGTTCATGTCATATGATCAAAAAATAGCAGCAATACTCAGTTATAAACAAAGCTTGTGCTTCAAGTGTCAGATTCATTTAAAATCTAGATGGAAGCATAAGACATAGATAATCAATATACTAATTTTGTAGTATGGTAACCCCCAGATTCAAAGATGTAGATTCCTTTGCTACTCCTAAGTCTATCATAGTCTAATGTGGAAAGAGCGGGGAAAATTGGTCATTTAAAATGTAGAGTGAGGGCTTCCCTGGTGGCGCAGTGGTTGAGAGTCCGCCTGCCAATGCAGGGGACACGGGTTCGTGCCCCGGTCCGGGAGGATCCCACATGCCGTGGAGCGGCTGGGCCCGTGAGCCATGGCCGCTGAGCCTGCGCGTCCGGAGCCTGTGCTCTGCAACGGGAGAGGCCACAACAGTGAGAGGCCCGTGTACCGCAAAAAACAAACAAACAAACAAAAAAACAAAACAAAGAATGCATTCTCCACCATCTTTGCTTTTTTGGAATAGCTGATTCCAGCTTTGAAAACCCAGGAGGGAGGTTCTGATTAAAAAAAAAAAAAAAAAAAAAATGTAGAGTGAGTTTTCCCAAGGAAACGGTGTTACTGTTTTAATAACTGATTAGCTTCAGAGGTTAGTCTACAAAAGCCTATTTAGCTCACTGTATACTTAAAGTATTGTATTAGTAGAAATACTTCTGAGTCCAGCCCTCTTCTTTCAGCTTTCCTGACTTATCTAAGTTCTAAAGCTAGTTTGTTTATCCATTCATTCATTCCTTCTACATATTTTTAATGAACACCTATCATGTGTCAGACATTGTGATAGTTGCTAGAAGGTTGGTAGGATCTCTGAAAAGACCCTCTACCAGTGTTGGGAAAGGGAGGCTGAGGAGTTTTTGTAATGAGGTTGGGGTAGGGAAAAGTGTGCTAGGCAGGTGAAGTCCTAGCTTGGCATTCAGGTAGTAACTTCTCCCCTGGTAGTAATGGAGAAGAAGCCCTAACAGCATGTACTAGCAGCACCTGTTTGTACAGATGCGTCCTCGGAAATTCTGGGGTTCATGTGTTAAGGACTACCTTTACATAATAATGTCTATACCTAGCAATACCAATCAAGAATAACTAGAGGGGCAGTAGGAAGGCCTCAATCAAGGGAACAACAGTATGACATTTGATAGTATCTGGCCTCGTTAAAAACATGAGCAAACAAATGTGTGACAGTATTACCTGTGCTGGTGGTGATGGACAGAAGAGAATTCATATGTCCTTATTCTTTCATTCTGAAAGATGATCTGTAAAATGGCCTGTCTTAAGTTTTTGTATGAACCTGGCCCTTGAGAAAGACTTTTGGAATATTTCTCTAAGTATATGATTAGCTCTGGCTGTTCTGTTTCAAAATTCTGTAGTAGAAAAAAAAAACCTAATTTATTATGGTGGAAATTTATTTTATTAGAGTGATTTTGTTATTGAATATACTGATCAATCTATCTAATAAGCAAACTCACTCAGCTTATTCAAGTAAAACCGAGGAGATTAAGATACAGAGCTGTTGTAGTATCCAGGTATCATGCCAACAAATATTGGGGCTGTTCTTTCTATCTCTTGGCAGTCGCCTGGTCCATATATATTATGACTTCTTCGCTCCACTGTGTGCCACCGACCAGTTTGGTCTCTTAGCTCCCCAAGTCTGAATTCTTGACAGAGGCATCTTACTGCCCTTACTCATTTTCTTTCCCAGGCATGTTGTAGCTTGTTGGCAGTCCATGGATGGCTGCCCTGGGTTTTGGTATCCTTTCCTGATTCAGTCAGCTGGAGCTAGGGTTGGGGCTAGTTGGGAATCATTTGGTTGGTGTCCCACTCAACAGGGCTGTGGGCATGGCCATCCTTGGAAAAGTGTGGTGAGAAATGCAATGGTTCCTAGCATTGATTACTAGTTGTGTTACATTTTGGAAACAAAATTATGTGTAGAGCAATGCTGTAGCATTTGATTAGTAACAGAGCCTAGGCTCAGTATTTATTTCTTATTTCAGATCACCCTGAAAAGATGGAAGAAGTGAAAATAAAGCAGCCCAAGCAGCAACAAGCAACAGAAATTCACTCTGGTAAATTATCTCGTGAGTGACTTCAAACCTACATAGATTTGCTGCTCTCTGATAAATCTCTAAATGAAAAAATGTCATCAGATATTAAATGATTTTCGGGCGTGTGACATCACTCCAAAAAGCTCCTTTTCTTTGTTTTTCCTTTTCCCTTAGAATTTCCTTTTGTCTACCGATAGCCTTTTATCCTTCCAAGGAATTTCTCACTTTCTTAATGTTTAAAATTCTGAGCACTTTTTTTCTAGAAGGGTGAAAATCAGAGGGAGAGGAGTTAGCTGTCATTACCAGAAACTTTGTCCTGAGGCCCTAACGTTTGTAAAGCACCTGCTCTGGTTGGTGGAGGTAGTCCCAACACCAGCTTTCAGAAGGGACTAAAAATAAACTGTTTCCATTGCCACATTGTCTCAGTGGGCAGTATTCATTAGGTTCATGATGAATCTCATTAAAGTTTGTATTTTTCATCATGTCTGTTTCATGCTAAGATTATTTTGATGTTTAAAAATGTTTGCTTCATGTTTACATACAGAATTTACGTTAATTTTTCCTAAAATGATCTGTTTTTGTTTGTTTGTTTTTGTTTTAATAGGATTTACCACTTCAGCAGAAAAAGAGGCTAAATTAGTCTCTACCAGTTCTTCCTCTACTTCTTTCTCTGGTCCTGCTGCTACTCTGCTGCAGAAAATTCCCAACACCCATTTGTCATCTGTTATTACCACCTCTGACCTCTCACCAGGGCCAGGCCACCATTCTTTATCTCAGATTCCTCCAGCTATCCCCAGCATGGCTCACCAGCCAGCAATTTTACTGAGCACGGTCCCTGGCAGTGCTTCTCCCTCCATCCATCCTGGGACACAGAACGTACTGAGCCCCACTGGCCTGCCGCGCTGTCGATCAGGCAGTTACACCATTGGCCCCTTTTCCTCTTTCCAAAGTGCTGCACACATCTATAGCCAGAAACTGTCTCGTCCCTCTTCAGCAAAGGCAGGTGAGTGAGAGAATGAAAGGCAGTCCACAATGTCAGCTTCTCCCCAGCCTCAGTTAAAAAGGAATGCCATCTCTTCCCTTTGCCTTTTCTTTTGAAAGGTAAAGGGACGCAGGGTGCATAGTTCTGATGTGACTAAGGAAGAGTCTTGCATTTGGTCCAGTGGCACTCATTCACTGATAAGAAAATGAAACAACTTCTTTTAGGTGCTGGGGATAAAGAAATGAGTAAGACAAGGCTTCTATTTACTGGGAGCTTACAGCATAGTCAAGAGATAATTGTGATATTTGTCTTTTTACTGTTGAGTTGTAAGTGTTCTTTATATATTCTGGGTACAAGTCCCTTGCCAGATGCATGATTTAGAAGTATTTTCTCTCATCCTGTTGAGTATGTTTTTTCTAAGAATTTTATAGTTTAGGTCTTTTGTCCATTTTGATATAATTTTTGTATATGGTGTGGCATAAAGGTCTTAACATCTCTTTTTTTGCATGTAGTTATTCAGTTGTCCCAGCACCTTTTGATGAAAGACTGTTATTTTCCTGTTGAATTGTCTTGGCACTCTCGTCAAAAGTCATTTAATCTTAAATGTAAGGGTTTACTTCTGGAGTCTCAATTCTATTCCACTGATCTGTGTATCTCCCCTTATGCGAGTACCACATTGTCTTCATTACCACAGCATTGTAGTAAGTTTTGAAATCACCAAGGGTGATTCTTCCATCTTTGTTCTTCTTTTTCATATTGTTTAGGGTATTCTGGATCCCTTGCATTTTCGTATGAACTTTAGGATCAGCTTGTCAATTTTTGCAAAAATAGGCAGATGGGATTTTGATAGGGATTGTGTTGAATTTGTAGATTAGCGAGTATCCTAACATTGGTCAGATTTTTAAACACCTGAGTAATATCCACGTTTAGGTGAGTTACAGTTAAGGTATGTTTTATAAATAGCCAATCTATATGTCTTAACCATTGTCTGATTTCAAATGAAATGGGTATTGTAATATGGAGCTTGAATCAGAGATATGAAAGGGTCTACATTAATAAGTCACCATATGAATAGGTATGTATATATGTATTAGTGCTAATTCTGAGTGATTATTCTTATGATTTAATCTTCTAAAATCAATAATAATTATGTTCTGGTTTAAATTTTTTCTCCCATGTGAGAGAAATTCAGTAAGGTCAGTGTCTCCAGTACCTTGTTGCTGTCATCAAAACTTCCTTTTTAAACCTTCCTTTTTTTCATACCTATCGCAGAGGAGGATAAGGAACGGAAGAAGCTAGTCAGTTCAAAAATATTTCCTAATTTCCGTTGTGATTTCTTTCTTGACCCATGGATTGTTTATAAGTATATTGTTTAATCTTCACATAGTTGGCATTCTCTATTTTTTGTGATTGCTTTTTAGCTTATTTCCACTGTGGTCAAAGAACATATTCTGAATGACTTAAACAGTAGTAGACAACAATATATAGATAACAATATATAGTTGACAACGATATACTTGACAATAATAATATCCTGGAAGTGACTGGAGTCAAATTTTTCTGTGGTGATTGAATAGTTTGGGGATGAGATTAAGATGTTATTTTTTTATTTTTTCGGTACGCGGGCCTCTCACTGTTGTGGCCTCTCCCCCTGCGGAGCACAGGCTCCGGACGCGCAGGCCCAGCGGCCATGGCTCACGGGCGCAGCCGCTCCGCGGCATGTGGGATCCTCCCGGACCTGGGCACGAACCCGTGTCCCCTGCATCGTCAGGCGGACTCCCAACCACTGCGCCACCAGGGAAGCCCAAGATGTTATTTTGAATTTAGACTTTTTCAAGATAAATATACAGTATCAAGTTTCAAAGGTCACCACTGAAAAAATTAAAATACGGAAATTTAAACATGTGGGAAGAAGAAAAATGGTTTGGGTGGGGGGGAAACCCCCACAAACATAGAAGCACACAAGTGCGAAGCTTAGAAAATGCAAGAAATGGAAACTTGAAAGATCGTAAACCAAGTCCTAATATATCAAGAATCAAATAAATATAAATGGGCTGAACTTGTTAGAAGAGTGTCAGATTGAATTTTTAAAAAATCTAACTGTATGTTGTTTACCAACGAAAGACATATGTAAAGATAAGGACGTAGAATGGTTGAAAGTAAAAGGATGAAGAAAGAAATACCATGTAAATACCAACCAGAATAAAGGTGGTGCTAATGCATGCTAACTTAATTTAGTATATATTAGCTTATATTAGGCTTTAAGAGAGAAAATTTTCCTAACAGATACAGAGAGTAATTACATAAAACAGAAAGTTTAGTTCAGCAGAAAGATAAAACAGTTCTAAGTGCAGCTAACAAAATAACCTCCAAATAAATAAAACAAAAATTGATACTAATGAGGAATCTACAAATCCACTGTCTTAGTGGGAGATTTCCACATATTTCTGTCCAATACTAGTAGATACACAGATTTTGTAAATCAGCAAAGATAGAGACAATTTGAACAAGATGATAACTTTATCTATTGCTCATCCATAATATTCTGTACCCAATAATTAGAGAAAACACCTTCTCAAGCACACATGATACGTTTATAATAAACAGTCATGTCCTACATCATAAGACAACAGATTTCAAAGAGTTGGTATCACACAGCCACATTCTCTGTCCATACTGCAATTAAATTGAATGTCGACAGCAACGATACATAACAAATCCTTATATATTTAAAAATTTAAAAGAGTTCAGAGAAGAGATCATAATGGAAATAAATGTAAAACTATTAGAATTGAAAGTGAAAAAACTTCATGTTCAGATGTGTGGAGAGCAATGAAAAACAGTATTTGGAGGGAAATTTACTGCCTTAAATACTTATATTTGAAAAGAAGAAAGGCTAAAAGTTAATGTGCTAAATATCTATTTCAGATGTTATAAAAACAGCAATATTACAAATCTAAATAAAGGAGAAAGAGAGATAAGAGTAAAGATAAAAAGCAAAGACAAGAGTAAAAATTACAGAATTCAAAAATAAGGTACAGTAGAGAAAATATCGGAGCCAAAACTTCTTTGAAGAGCCTAAGAAGGTGGACAAAACTCTGGTGAGACCGATCAGGAAAAGAGAGAAGATACGGATAAATAATGTAAGGAATGAAAAGCAGACAGAAAATACAAATGTAGCATAGGTGACAAAAATATTAGAATACTGTTAACCACTTTATTCCAATAAAATTGATAACCTATGCAAAGTGGATAATGCCTACAAAAGTAAGTAAAATTGGTTCAAGAAGATGAAGAGGGACTTCCCTGGTGGTCCAGTGGTTAAGACTCTGTGTTCCCAATGCAGGGGGTCCGGGTTCGATCCCTGGTCAGGGAACTAGATCCCACATGCATGCCTCAACGAAGATCCTGCATGCCGCAACTAAGACCTGGCTCAGCCAAATAAATAAATAAATAATTTTTTTTTTTTAAAGAAAAGAAAAAATTTATTAAAAAAAAAAAAAAAGATGAAGAAAGCCTGAATGGTCCTACAACTATTAAAATAAGTTATACAGTAGTTAAAAAATCTCACAAAGAAAACTTGAGGCCCAGATGATTTTATAGATAAGTTTTGACAATCTTTCAAGGGAAAGATAATTCCAATCTTAAACTCTTCTAGAGCATGGACAAAAAAAGAGACAGCAGTAATAACTCTGTGTGGCTAGTTTAATCTTGATAACAAAACCAATTAAGGACAGTATTAGAGAGGGAAATTATAGATCAGCTTCATTTATGAACACCAATACAAAAATTCTAATCAAAATATGAGCCAGCCACATCTAGCAATATATGAGAGAGATTAGATCCCATGAACAAGTTTATCCAAGGAATACAGAAGGGGTTTAACAGAAAATCTATAAATGTCGTTTGTCACATCAGCAGATTAAAGGAGAAAAACTGTATTTATCCTCTTAGTAGATGCAGAAAAAGAATTTGGTAAAATTCTGTACTTGTTCATGATAATAACTCTCAGCATACTAGGAAGAGAAGGAAACCCTCTTTATTGAAAATGGGTGTCTGCCAAAATCTCACTAGAGATATCAGTGTAAATGGGGAAATGTCGAAAGCATTCCTTCTAAGGTTAAGAGCAAGAACAGGATGCCCACTGACATTTCTTCTACTCACTGTTTTACTGGAGGTCAAGAGCCAGTATAATAAAACAAGAAAAAGAAATTAAAAGCATAAGGATCAAAAGGGAGGAAATAAAATTTATTTATTAGCAGATAATACATTATCTACATAGAAAACTGAAAATAAGCTACAGATACCCTTGTGGCATTAAGTGCATTCACATTGTTGTACAACCACACCACCAAGAGAACAACATGCATAAAAATGATAAGCTATCTAGGGATAAATTTAGGAAAGACTTTTATAAGGAAATTTTATAAGGCTTTGTTTAGAGACAGAGAAAACCTAAATAAATGAATAAATAGGATGTGCATGGATAGGAAGACTTAATATCATAAATGTTTCAGTTCTCATCAAATTGATCTGTGGATTCAATACAGGTTCCAACCAAAATCTCAAGTTTTGTTGTTGTACTTGACAAGCCAATTCTAAAATGATAATGGATAGGCAAAAGACCAAGGATAGTGAGAAGTCACTGAAGAAGAAAAAAGGGTGGAGGAGTATCTTATTAAGAATATAGGGCTTCCCTGGTGGCGCAGTGGTTGAGAGTCCGCCTGCCGATGCAGGGGACATGGGTTCGTGCCCCGGTCCGGGAAGATCCCACATGCCGCGGAGCGGCTGGGCCTGTGAGCCATGGCCGCTGGGCCTGTGCGTCCAGAGCCTGTGCTCCGCAACGGGGGAGGCCACAACAGTGAGAGGCCCGCGTACTGCCAAAAAAAGAATATAAAGATATGATCATTAAGAGAATATAGTATCTGAAAAGGTACAAAGTGACCAGTGGAGCAGAATAGAAAGTTGGAAGCAATCATACAGATAGATGAAAGTTTGATATATGACAGAGGCATTGCAGATAGTGGAAAAGGATGCATTTCTCAATAAATGGTGCTGGGATAATTGGTTATCCATACAGGAAGAAAAGTGAAATTAGATCTCTGCCTTATACTATCCATATAATCAATTTCAGGTGCAAAACTTTAAACTTCTAGAATAGAATAAGGGAGACCATCTTTAACACCTTATTGTAGGAAACACAAGTAAAAACATAAGCAAGATTCCTTCAGTAAGAAAAAGACAACCCAATAGTGGTTTCAGAAAAGAGGTAACGTGCTCTACATCATTATTAATCAGATGAATATAAATGAAGAATGCAGTGAGATTTTACACCCTCTTAAAAGAGGGAAGAATTAAGATACTTGACAGTACTAAGTGTTGGAGGGGATGTGGGTCAGCAGGAGCACTTATATTTTGTGGCAATGTATCACATTCGTTTGAAAATTCACATAAATTTGAAAATTGTTGTTAACACATACATTTAAAAATTCACATAAATTTGAAAATTCACATAAATTTGAAAATTGTTTTTATCACATAAATTTGAAAATTCACATAAATTTGAAAATTCACATAAATTTGAAAATTTTTGTCATCACATGCATTTGGAAATTCACGTACTCTGTGACTCAACTCCTAGCCGTATACACAAGAGAAGTTCTTCCACATGTGCACCAGGACATGTATGCAAGAGTGTTCACAACTGCACTGTTTATAATAGCAATAAGCTTGAAATAGCCAAAATAGCCATTAATGAGGGAATAGAAAAATAAGTTGTAATGTATTTCCAAAATTGGAATACCAAGCAGCAGATAAAGTTAATCAATTTCAGCTATACTTAGAAAGGATAAATCTCAGAAGTATGGTACTGAATAACAAAAGCAAGTCCCAGGAAATTACTACAATCGATAGCATTTTTATAGAGCTCAAAAACAAACAAAATTAACTGTATTTTGTTTAAGTATGCATACACAAACACACACAGAAACAAAGAATAAAACGATATTTAAAAAAAAGGGGGGTGAATGGTAAGGGAAGATTAAGGATGAGGAGGAACACATGGGTTGATAATGTTAATGTGACTCTTGAGTTGGGTAGTCAGTTCATTATAATATGTTTTATAACTTCTACATCAATTGTAAATAGTATTTGGTATGTGTCAAATAACATAATAAACATGAAAAAATATAGAGTTTTTTAAAAGTAGTGTCACCACATTGTGTATACAGAATGATCATGGTTATATAAGCATTAATAAGACAGAAAGGAAACACATTAAAGTGTTTCCACTTTTCTGGGTTTTTAATATTTTTTCAATGGGTTGCGTGACTTTTATCATAGAAAAAAATATTAACCTTGACTTTATATTAAGTAATTTCATTGTGCCAGAATTTCAGTGCTCGGAAATAATAGAATTCTGTGATATTGTAGTTGAAAGAAGAAAATTGAAGTCTGAGAGGAAAATCAATTGAAATTTTATAATATAGGATTATTGCTGTTTTTCCAAATATACTGTTTTGCTTTTGTCCTTCTTTCCTTTTTGAGCTCTGTAAGGAGGACTGTTGATGATTTGACAGTGTGTGCCGTAAACTACTGACAACTACAGTCACATAACAAGGAAAACAAGAACTATAATGAGTTTCAAGGCTACACATTTTTTATTCATTGATTCTAGTATGAATTATTCCCCACTACATATGATGAAAATTCTTCTTTTGTGAAGGATTCATAGTATGCAAAAACACAGTAATAAATGCATGTAAGAGTTTCTAGAGTATGGTAAGGATTTAGTTTTACTTTTGTGAGCATCTGAGGATAGTTTACTGCTCCTTATGTTGTCAGAGATCCCTAGGAGTCAGTAAAGTATCTGTTGGCTGAGATTTTGCTGTCATCATCCTAAGTTTTTCAGGGCTTTTTTCCTAAGTGGATGAAAACTTTTCTTTTTTAGCAGGTTCATGCCATCCAAACAAGCAGCATTCAGGAGTAGCCAAAACACAGAAGGAGGGAGAAGATGGTTCCTCGTACAGCAGACGGTACAACCCAAGTATGGTTACGGCTGAACTTCAGCGGCTAGCTGAGAAGCAGGCAGCAAGGCAGTATTCTCCATCCACTCACGTCAGTCTCCTCACCCAGCAGGTATGGATAGTTTGGGGTGTCAAAGAGTTCTTTGGATCAGTGGATAGGGTTAACTACAGGATACTCTGTCCTTCCCTGTCTTTACTAATGCCCATATGCTGATGCTTGTTGAATGAATATTAGTTGGTTTCAAGCTAAAGAATAAAAGCATTCCTTCAGCTTTAAAGAAAGGGTTTCTGTCACAGGTATTGCAAACTTAAGTGTGCTGCTAACTATGATGTACTTACTTCATGGATAAATAGACTTGAATGTTCAGCTGTAAATGCACTTTTAAAGGATCTTTAAAAATAACTTATCTCTCTGGTAAAATTTTCCAGTGAGTTCTAGTCTTATAAATCTTTTTACCAGAATGCCATAACATTACCTTTTACTTTTTTTTTTTTTTTTTTTTTTTTTAATTTTCTTTCTTTCATCTTTGTTCTTTACTATCATGGTGGAGCTCTTTGGTGCCTTCAAGCAGGTTTTATTTTTTTTTTTTTTTTTTTTAACTTTACTGCCTTTCATCTCATGATGTCAGGATCTTTTCTGGGCACTGATTAATGAATTATTTCAATACACCCTCATCCAACACATATCATCCTCACCATTTTACAGATGGGGGAAACTGGGGCTGAAATGAGTGATGTAGTCAAGGTCATCCGGCAAGCTTGATGGATACCAGGATTTTGACTTTGTTGTATATATACTGACAAGCTTACAACACAGTGAAGTTAGATGAAACTTTTAAGAACTTTGGGATTCTTTTTGCCCTTCTTGATGATTATCCCCATGGTATTTAACTGGAAGTAGAAGCCATGTTTTTTTCCCTTTCCTTAATGCAAACGGCATCAAAGTCCTCCAAAGGAATTATTCTGATTTAACTCCACAGTTATATTTTGCTATATCTTTGTGGTGTCATGTCCCTTAACTGGTGGCAACTCTCTAGTGATAATCGAGTCTAGGAAAAAGTGAAGCTGTAGATTACTTCAAGTGCATGTTAAAAGTAGGCAACATACTGCTCCCTGGTGGTGCCCTACTTTTCTGTGTAAAATTCTGGACCACAATTCAAAGTAAGCCTTAGCTTTACTTCAGCCTCATCCCAGAGTGTGAGGTTGTAATTAATTTTCTTTTTCAAATCCCTGATAGTTTGAAGGGAGTAGATAAGGAAGCCTAATGTGAATTAGGAAGTGAAGAATCTTATACGGCAGTGTTGAGACTTGAAGGGAGTTAATAGTTAGATTTTAGTGACAGAATGATGGGAAAAGGAAATGGAATATCATGGCCATGGTAGAATGGGAAGGAATTGTGAAATGTGAAGTGGCTATGAGGAAGGGAGAGGGCCAGTGATCTGCTGCACTATTTTCAGTGGGTCACTGACTAGAGTATATGTTCCAATTTTTAACGAGCAGCTAGAAGCACCAAGACATTAAGAAATTTTCTTTGCAATTATAGTAAAAAACATAGCCAATGTTAGTGTTTACATATTTTCACCTCCTCTCATTCGGTAGACAGCAAAGCTTGCCAAAATGAAAGGATCCTGATCCTTTGGGAATCCAAGGTGATTGTATCCTTATTGGAAAGTCATTCCCCTTCAGTCTGTCTCATCTAAGAAGAATTTCAGTGCCAGTGAATTAAAATTCCATCAGACTTCTCTTCATAGAGATCTGAACTCGCCATTAGATGTCAGTCTTAACTTTTAGAGCCTTGGTAATAAATAGGGTGGTTAATCCTTGCTGCAATACTGAGGGAGGGACTGTAGTAATGTAATAAGCAGGGTGCAGTAGTGGGAAAAGGGCTGGATTAGCCATATAAAGACCTGCTTTCTTCTACCACTTACTAGCTGTGTGATCTTGGGCAATTCACTCAACTTCCGTTAACCTCAGGGTCTCTATTTGTTGATGAGGAAGATACAACAGGGTCACGAGGATAGTATGCAGAAACCTTTCTGTAAAGTCTGAATGCCCTATATTGATACTTGGAAAAGATTGCCATTTCAACCGTAAAAGGCTTTTAATAATAAATGGTTTCTAATTTGATTTGAAATCAGTTTTTGGATAAAATATTGTGTTACCAAAATGAATATTGTTATTGAAAAGCTCAAGTATGTGTTATTTGTGTTATTTCCCCTTGGAGAAAGTAGTTCCTTAATTTGGAATTTGGGAAATTCTTCTATTGTTCTTTTTCTGGTAAATAATAACATGTTATAATGGCTTAATAAGGGCCCTGGGATATCTGTTTACTGGCCATTTCCTTTTACTCCTAGCTGTGTTTGAAAGAAAGTGCCTTGGTTCCTTACTCACTGAGGCAAGTGATAAGGTGTCTGTAGTCCTGGTGAGAGGCAGGCATCCAGACAGAACGTGCTGAAAGCTCTGCTCTCCTCTCTGGACTTGGAGTGTGAAACCTTCAACTCAGCTCCACCAGAAATAACTCTGTGTCCAGTAGTCACTTGAAATGTTTTTTATTTCCTCTTACCTGTGATTATTTCCTTATTTTCAATTCCTATTTTGTGTTTTCTTTTTTTTCATATATCCAGTAGGGTTAATGAAGATTTTCTTTCCCCCTTCCCTTTTTTTGATAGGATATATTTATTCATTCTGTTGTTTTATTGTTTGTTAATTGGTTATCTTCTTGTTTTATCTTTGCTAACTTCCTTCCTTCTGTTTTCCCTAGCTTTATTTTGTTATTTCCTCCCAATTTCCTGAGTTGGGTACTTCATTTATTTTCACTCATGTCTTGTTTTTTATTACATTTAAAGCTATGGATTTTCCTCTGAGTATTGCTTTCATTATATGCCATAAACCCTGGTATATCTTTACATTGCTTTTCTGGGCAAGGTGTTAAGAGACCTTCCACTAAATAAGGTATGCTGATTTTAAATTATTTGTGCTGTTTTGGAAGATGAGTATAAAAACCCTGAAATTTGGGACTTCCCTGGTGACCCAGCAGTTGGGACTCTGTGCTTCCACCACAGGGGGCGTGGGTTTGATCCCTGGTCGTGGGGAACTAAGATCCTGCATGCCGCCACAGCGCGGCGAAAAAAAATGAAATTTGAGGGAATTTCTGAAAAATCACTTTATTTTGTCTATGATTTCAACTACTTGCTCATGAAAGCTTTTAGTGGCATTCTCTGTAGAACTTTTTATTCAAATGTATTCTTTTAATTTGTTCATTCAACAACATTTTATTACGCTCTTGAGAGTGTTCCAGGCCTTGGTACTAAGCCACAGGGATGATATAAGACATAGACCTCTGGGGCTTCGCTGGTGGCACAGTGGTTGCGAGTCCGCCTGCCGATGCAGGGGACACGGGTTCGAGCCCTGGTCTGGGAAGATCCCACATGCCGCGGAGCAGCTGGGCCCGTGAGCCACAATTACTGAGCCTGCACGTCTGGAGCCTGTGCTGTGCAACAAGAGAGGCCGCGACAGTGAGAGGCCCCCGCTTGCCACAACTAGAAAAAGCCGTCACACAGAAGCGAAGACCCAACACAGCCATAAATAAATTAATTAATTAAAAAAAAAAAAAAAAAACGTAGACCTCAGCGTGAAATAACTCACAGTCTGGTAAGGGTGACAGCCACATAAACATGATAGTACTAGCATGGCATCTGCAGAGATGTTTCTAGGGAATAACAAAACCACCAAAGGGTATCTAACCCAGCCTGTGGGTGGGAGTGGGAAGGCCAAAGCAGCCTTCTTGAAAGAGATTACACCTACACTGAATCTTAAGGGTAGGCTGGTGGGTGGCAGCAGAAGGGTAGAGCAGGCTCCAAAATAAGCTAACATGTGTGTATGTGGGGAAACAGAAAGCTGGTGGTTAGTGGTGTTGGAGGATAGGGAGCAGCTGGGATGGAAGCTGGAGGAGAAGACAAGGGCTGATTCAAGGAGAGCTTTGAATGCCCTGTGAAGGAACTCGCTCTTTATCTCATAGATGACCAGGAGCCACAGAGACAAATGGGCCTTGCCTTTTAGCTGCATCACTTAGGTAGCTGGGAGGAGGATGGATTGCAGGATGAAGCAATGCCATCCCCTTTTCCTCCCTGCTCACTGTTGAAGATGCTGAGGAACAGTGAATTAGCCAGAAGAAAAGAAGCAAAGTACTCTGACACCCCCAGAATTTTCTAATAAAGCTTGAGTTCCCTGAATTTCCATTAGAGGCTAGATTCTTATGAATTTGTATGGCTAAAAACAGAACCTCATTTATCTTGCAATTACTTTTACTCTTTCTGCTATGATTTAACTTTATTTATAGACTAGAACATATGAGAATATTGAAATTTCCCTGCCACACGAAGTGGCCACCGTGGCCACTTTGGAAGTGTTTGCATATGCTGGAAATACAGAGACACGTGTTCTTAACATATGATTATTCAACAAATACCTAACAAATCTGAGCAGAGAGCAGGTCAAATTTAGTTCTTTCCCTTGGCACGTGAGAAGCTGGTTATCTCTGGGGACTGGAATCCTTTGGAAATCATACATCCCTGAAAGCAGGGTTTTCTAGAAGCGTCTTTTTCTTGTGGGGGAGAGTGCTGTGGTAGCTGAGGTGGGCTGGCGTAGAGCTTGAGTGTGAGTTCTCACTATCTCTGCCTCATCCAGTGCCGGGAGAGGTGTGCTTTACAACTGTAGCCCTCTGCACGCACAGAAGTAGCCCTTTGTGGTCACTGCTGTCAGCGAACAGGAGAATGTGGCAAAGTAACCCAGGTCTGTGGTGAGGAGAGGGAGAGTAGAGGGAGCCCTGGCCTGTCTGTGCGGGCCAGTGTGCGATTGCAGGACCCAGCTATCATTAGGAGCAGCGCCAGCTCTTGCAGCCTGGGAGTTTAATCAAAGGAATAACAGCAGACCACCCAGGCGAGGGCTCCGATGCTTGCGCATGTGCTGTGTCAGGCTCTGTTCCCAGGCCACCCGGTGCCCGGGATGTGGCCAGGCCTCCTGGAAATGTGCTGACAGATACATAGGAGGGAGGAGATGCTTTTTGCTTCTCACATTTTTCATTTAGAGGGCGAGGAGGAAAGAAAACCATTC